AAGTCTACATCATTCAAGATTTAACTCCTCTCACCTCCAGGAAATTTTTCATGGCTGCTAATTATTGTTCTCCCATTTCCTCTGAGCTCCTCCAGTCCTAAGAGTCTGAGATAGCCACCTTATCACTTCTCTCTCAGACATAAAAATACACTCTAAACCCCTGTGGCACTCTTGTCTTGTTTTACCTCACTTTCCATCCTTTCCTTGATAATAGCGCTGACCCTAGTACAATATGACACTCAACATTTGTTACACTTGTGACTGTCAGTATTTATCTCTCCCCCCTCCACACGAAGACTCTTAGCTCCTCAGAAGTGACAATCCCTTAACTCCTGGCTGCTTTATTGTTTCATGCTTTGACCCGTAAAGATGTGAGAGGGGTGAGAGGCTGAAGGGCATCCACCCAACCTTTACCAATGTTTGTGCATCCCTCTCTATTTAACTTCTTCAAAGCCTTTGCTAAAGAGGGAGCTACCTAGGTTCCCTCCACCTGGAACATCTAGCTTCAAAATTCCAAATCCTACCCTTTCCAACTCAAGGCCTACTCTAGAAGTGGGAAGGGCTGTGATTTACTGAGAAAGGTCATGTGGGTACTTTCCAGGTTGATAGAAGTATTTAAGAGATGTGTACACATGTCTGCAAATTTGAACAACTTTTTTTTTTTTTTTTTGAGACAGAGTCTCACTATGTTGCCCTTGGTAGAGTGCTGTGGCATCACAGCCAACAGCAACCTCTAACTCTTGGGCTTAAGCGATTCTCTTGCCTCAGCCTCCCAAGTAGCTGGGACTACAGGTGCCCACCACAACACTCAGCTATTTTCTGTTACAGTTGTCATTATTGTTTAGCTTGCCTGGGCTGGGCTCGAATCCACCGGCCTGAGTGTATCTTGCTGGCACCATAAACACTGTGCTATGGATGCCAAGCCTTGAAATGCATTTTAAAAAGATGGGTTGAGGCTTGTATAGATACGCATGCTAAAGTCAAGTGTAGTAAAATGCTAATTGCAGAACCTGGGTGGTTGATATATGGGTGTTCACAGTACAAAATTACTTTGAGTTTCTGAGTATTTGAACATGTTCATTGCCAAATGTTAGGGAAAAAAATAAGGGGTATGGGTTAACATCCCTGGTATTTTCATAGCCACTACCCTTGTTTAGACCTCACTGCATCTTAACTAGAATCTTGCAACCACCTTAACAGTGACCTCCATGCTAGCCCACTTCAGTCTATTCCCACTCAAGGATCACCAAAGAAAACATTCTGAAACATAAATGAAACATGCATGATCCCATCCCTGCCAATCTCTTCTGGTTCATCCCTGACACCTGACACCTTACTGTAGCCTGTACTCCAGCTCAATTCAAGGGTTTGTACTTCCACTCATATATCAGGCTACTTTATGACTTTCTACTTTTGCTTATGCTGGCCCCCTTGCTTGAAATGCTCTAGCCCAACTCATCCTTTTGCCTTCCCTTGCCTGATGAATCAAAAGTCAATCAGGTATTACTTCTTCCCAAAAGCTTTTCCTGCTCCCTAGACTGGGTTGGGACTCATTGTTTCATGATTCTATAGTACCTCATACTTATTTGTAACATAGGACTTATCCTACTACATGGGTTCCCATATTTGCATACTAAACATGGAAGATCAAGCCCTCCAAAAGAGCCTGACCCAAAGAGGCTTTGATAAACTACTATAGAACAATATTGAATTGGTATGGCTGATACCCTGACACCTTCCAACTTTGTGTCACAGACTTATATCTCCTCTGCAAAAGTTTAAAGTATATACCAGCTTTATTGACTCAGCCATCTTCCTATGGACTTAAAACACCATCATCCTCATGAAGCCAACTCAATTTCTTGCCCCAGTTTAAAATAATCTCACCCATTCCTCTGAAGGTTTACTTTCTCTATATTTCTTTTTATGAGATTATAGCCTTTGTTGGGCAAATTTTGACTGGGAAAAATTAAACTACATTCACTGATCACTTGACTGCCAGACACTGAATTAAATTCTTTAAAGACACTAGCTACTAGGAATCCTCCTGACAGCCCTATGAGTTTAGAATTATATTTTAATTTTACAGATGACAAAATTAAGGCAAGGAAATAAGAAACAATTAATTCAAGATCACACAGATGACAGAACTAGACTGAATCATGGGTCATCTTAACTCCCAGGCACATCTCCTTTTCACCACAGCCCATTATCTCCAGATTGGGCCAGGTTTTAGAAAGTCTTGAGATTCAGAGGGTATAATAAGCAGTGGAAAGTCATGGAATGTTCTTAAATAGGAGGGGAAGATTAAAATAGAACTTTGGGGAGATACTCCTGAAAGGTTGTGTATGACAGAATGGAATGGAATGTGGAGGAGGCTATTGGACTCCTGACAAGGAAAATACAAAATAGGTACTATATCTTTCTTATCATATTAATTGGAAAAGGAGATGATCTGATAAAGTAAATATATTTTAAGAGTTAAAAAGCTGAAAAGGGGATAGAAGGGACCATCTTCTGTCTCTTGGGGTATGTGAATGGCTGATCCTATGGTCGCTGTCCTAGAAATGTCCCGGGATCCCCACCTTTTATAGATTGTAGAAGTCTAGGAAAATGTCAGAGTTGACTGTATCTTGCATGAAGGCTTTCCTTAGGCAAGCGGCATTCAATGAGACACTAGATGAGATAGTGCCTTCCCCACATCTGCAGTAACTTCCTCACTGGCCTCTCTGGTTTGTCTCTCCCATTCCTAAACTACTCCAAAGATATCTTTTCTAAAAGCAAGTCAGACCATGCCATTTCCTGCTTAAAATCTTTTAATGGTTCTCTGTCAGTAATGGAATAAAGTTAAGTCTTCTGACAACCATCAGAATTATGTATCCTCCACATCTGGGGTTTTTAAATAAATATCATGCCTAAAAACTAATCACTTACGAACATATGCCTCCTCAAACTACATATTTCCTCTTGGAGATTCTGAATATATCCTTCTTCCAGGTGAAAGTCACAGCTGCAGTTATGCTAAATTGCTTGCCCTTAATTATACACACATTTTTTTCCCTGTCTATTTTTATTCATGCTATTGCCTTAGTTTGGAATACACTTACCACTATTCTCTGCCTAACTGGGTAATTACTTTTCATCTTTCAGCTCAGGAATCACTGGACAAGGTGGCTTTTGCTTCTCTGGGATGGACTGCCTGCTCAATATCCCCTGCTCATCTCTATCAGTACAATTTACCACATGATGCTCTTCTCCTCCATTTAACTTACTAGAGGACATTCAATTTGGTGTGAACAGAATCCTGATGGAGAGGCCTGTGTAAGTTGAGGCAGAGGACATAACATGAGCAAGCAGAAATGTGGATCTGTATTCCATACAAGTTAAGGCTGAGGATTCATTTGGGGGAATCAACAGCATCCAGAAAGTTTAGGAACAACAACTTAAGAGGGCTCCACAGTTGAGATAATTCCATTTGACAAACATAGAAACTGATACCCAGACAAGAAATTTCTACCCAATTACTTGATTAGTCATTGAGAAGAATGGCTCTTAGCAATAACTCCTGTGCACTTTTTCACTGTATAATGGAAAAAGGGAACACTAAAGTCAGGTGTCTTATTTTCCTCCCAATTTGGAGATAAGAGCCCTCTGATCTGCCTGAATGGAAGAGTAAGGTGACCTAGACTTATCCTGTAACCTGAGGCTGGTGACAGTGGTTTGTCCCTTCCCTAAGGAAGATGGAGTGAGAATTGGTGACAAAAAGAACCCAGCTTGGCATTCCTGCAAAGGTTCTTAAATCTCTCCTCTTTCCAGTTTCCTTTTTACAATTCACCTGCCCCAGATATGGACTTTCTCTATCCAAACCCTGCATAATGCTGAGACACAGGTGTGAGAACTGGAGGAAGTCATTTAGTCAGCAGGTGCCCCTAGACAGCCTCACTCCAGATCAGAAGAATCTCTAAGAAGAAATCTTGATTGCCTTAAAAATTTTTTTACAGGTGAATAACAGAGAGTAAGTAGCCCTGAGTCAAACAGAGAGTTAAGGTGGTAGTTAATTTGGAACTGAGGTTTCTAACATCACCTTGGGACCTCTCCTCAGGACACAATTCTCAATGCTGCATCTTACATACAACATCAATAAAAATTTGTTAGGTAATTGAGCCTCAAAGGATTTTCTCATACAATGAAGGGGAAAAAACATGCATTTGGGAGTTAGGCAGATCCTGCTGTGGAAGACCACTAGCAAATTTCCTTAACCATAAAATTGGGCTGATTACCTCACAGGGTTGTGAGGATTAAATAAGATATCCTAAGTAAAAAAAGCTCTAGCCCAATGTCAAGCACCCAAAAGGCACTTAATTATGGTAGCAATTATCAGTGAGAGGAGGTAAAATAGTGACTAGGTTGGTTCTAGAACATACTATATGTGTGATGTAGAAAGGTTACACTGTTTCCTCATCGATAAGATGAGGATGTTGGTGAGGATAAAATGAGTCAACATATATAAAGCACTAACAGTAGTGGCTGGCACAAGGAAATGATAGCAATGTATTAGCTCTGATAATTATATTCTATCCCTTGCACTGGCCCTAAGCACAGTAATTAGGTCCAGATTATACCACAAATGTCTGTAGGAGATGTTATAGAAAGGAAGAAAAATCCCACATTCACAGAGACGACACAAATGTAACCAGTAAAAACAGTCCTTGGAAACTATGAAAGCCTTTCCATTGAATTTGTCAGGCCCCTTTGAGTTGTTGGACCCTTTATTTTCTGCTCACTCTACTTATGATTACCTGCTTCAGATGTGTGAAGTGTATCCCTCCTGAGAGCAGGAAGCCTGTCTCTTTCCCACCTCAGGTATAAGGCTGGGCACCAGAAAGTGCCCATTGACAACTTGCTGAGGAAGAGATGAAGTACAAAAAGAAGACAGCACTCCTAGACCCCACACCACACCACTACCACCACCACAAAAAGAAGAATGCCAAGCAAATCAATTGCCAAGATAAATCACTTTTATCTCTATAGGAAAGGGAAAATCTAAAAAATATATATAAATTACATTAGTAACACAACATAAGAAAAAAAGCAGGGGGAAAAAAACCAACAGAGAAATCTGGATAATGCTACTTTATCCTATTTATAAAAAGGCCCTGCATCAGAAATTCACAATCCTACCCACTTCTAAAAATATATTTAGACATGTACAGAAGCAGTGGGCTTATTTTTAATTGTTTGCTTTTTTGTAAAAATATATTAAAGGTGAATAGAAATCCTCTCTCCCTGCCCCCTATCTGAACCCCCAGTTCCCTGCTGGGGATTGGAGATCAGATGTAACTATCTCACCATGTTCTACACCTTGGTTACTACCACTCCCAACCCCTCCCCAACTTAACTTCACTTAAACCTGAAAAATAAAGAAAACAAAAACATTAGCCTCTTTGGAAAAGCATAACTCTGAGGGTAAACTTGCTTTTCATTGGAAACAACACAACAACAAACAGGAGGTTCAGAGACCCCAACTAAACAAAACAAAAGCCAGTCAAATGGGCAATGGGTTTCAGTCACACAGAAACTTCTATGAAACAGAGGGGAAAGAGGCCTGGAATCAGGGTGACTTGCTAGCAATTAGCTGCCTTTGAAAGATCAAGAGAGACTGTTAATAGGCAAAAGAGCTAGGGACCGAGTCTTGGTTACAGCAGTCAGGCAGTTGCCTGTACAGGGACAGAAGTTTCAACTGTCCTCTTCTGCCTTATGCTGCCTTGAAATCCCCCAAATAAGCAAAGCTGGGAAGAAATAGAGGGAAGAGGAATAGGGAACTCACATGCTAAAGGGGAGGTAGCCAGGCCTTTTGCCTTTGGTGTGACTAGATGAAGAACTGCTTGGCCCCTGGGGTTCCCAAGGTAAAAAAAGCAAATGGGCTAAAAGAAACCCCAATTCCAAGGAAGGAGTAGAGTAGGGCTAAGGAGAAAAGACAAACTGCAGACACAAAGACAACAAAGGAAGCCCCACAAATTCCTTATGACCTGAATGGTAGCTGCTGAATTCCCCAAAAGCACTGTGTAAGCTGGGGTGAGGGTGGAGTGGGTGGTAGAGGGCAAAGAAATACTCCACTTGGGCAATGCCAAATGAGGGAGGGTTGTTTTCCATCAAGTCCAGATTGCCAATGAGGCAAGGTAGGTGAAAGGTGGGGTACTATCTGGACAATGGAGACAATCCACAAAGAAAAGAAAGGGGAAGGTAGGATCAGATGTCCTGCTCCTTCACAGATGGGTGTCTCTTCTTGTCAGCTTGGGCTCATGAGTGACCTGTCTGCACCTGTTGTCTGGAGATGCAAAGGCCCAGGAGTGAAGATAACAGTCTTTAGGTTTTTTTTAGACCAAGACCTCAGTGGAGAAAGAAGCATGGAGGTTCCCAATGGAGGACCCAAGGGTAGGCTGTCCTGCCACACTCTCTACAGAAGGTCCAGGATGTCCTCTGTGGCACAGGGTTGGGACAGGGTTATCTGCTTCAGTGGCAGGTGCTTTCAGGTTTCTGGGAGACGATTTTTCACCTGCTGGAGCCCAGCCACAGTAATGGGCTGTAAGACCTCAAAATCCAGACAAATCGTGGAGCTCACATTAGGACAAGGGACTTATGTGTAGCCAACCAAAAGTAGCCTCCTCCAATCGGCTACAAAATCATGGTCAAAGGCTTGGGTATCTGTCCTTTCTCCACCTTGAAAAGTGACAAAAATCTCCTTTCTTCTAAAGGATAAGTTTAATCAGCCTTTCTAGGCCACCTCTGGAAATGGCCCACAGTGGGGCATTAAGGAGACACTGGGCCCTCCTCATTATTTCCATCAAGTATTTGGCAAGAGAGGGTAAGGACCACAGCTTTCTTCTAAGAACAAGTCTGAAAAGTGGGGCATGTCCACTGGACTGGGGGGAAAGGGGAGAAGGAAAAATGGGCAGAGGTGGAGACAGGGCTGCAATTGCAGCAAGTGGTGAGCCCTGGGCCTCCCATTTCATGGCCATGGGAATATCAAAAGGGCTCACGCTCTCCTCATCCTGCCTTTTAGCTCTGGGGACAGTGGAGACAGGAGTAAAGGATAGACAGGAGTAAAACAGAGGGTTCTAGTCAGCTGGAAACCTCTCCCATTTACCTGCTGCTCAGAGATACAAAGAAGGAAGGCAGGATGCTCTAGCGAAAGTGGGGGAGTAAGTTAGGGAGTTACAGTAGGGGTCCATGGAGTAGTCCATGCCTTTGGTCAGTCCCAAGAAAGCAGGACAATGTGCCTCAGCACCTTGTCTGGGGCAGATAGGATCCAGGAGCACCCCGAGAGTTGACAACAGAGAAGGCAATGGGGGTGAAGTGGTAGGGGATGGGATACAAGAGGCTCACAGAAGTAGTTTGCCATTTCTATGGATTTTCAGGATACGGCCGAGTCTCTGCTTTGCTGTGGCCAGGCCCTTTTTGGGGCGCTTTCCTGTAGAAGGGAAAAGTAAACAAGAGCTATGGCAAGTGCTTCAGCAGCAACTCTGGCACCAACATTCCTCAGGCCTTTCCTCCTACCTCCATTTCTCTGCCCACAAAGCCTCCCCATCCTTGGGCTGTATCCAGTGAGAAGACCTCCTTAACCACTTTCATTCAGTACTACCTTGGCTCTTCTTCCTATGACCACCTGCAGCAGATACAGACTCTCTGGATATATAGTGTTTGTCTGGTTCTTTTCCCCTGATTTCTCTGGTCCCAAACATTTACCTTCCAAAATTCTGAAGGGAAGTGAATGTGCCTCCATGGCATTTTATCCTGCCCACAAGCATTAGACAAGTGCCTGGTTAGTGATTATAGCTGTGTCCTTGAAGTTGCTATTGCCAGGGCCTTATTTCATTTGGAACTCCCATCATCATCTGCCTTCAATGTCATACCAACCTCAGTGCCCTTCAGCTACATACTTTAAGAGGCCTAAGTCTCCTAACTCTCTCTTTCCTCTTTCTCTCTCCCCACGTCAAATCACCTCCCATGTCCTATTTGATCACCTCTATATTTGATCAGTTTACTCCCTCCTTCTCTATTCCTTCTGCCAAAGCACCACCCTCTCTTTATTCTACCTGAACTTATATATGAAACTCCTTCCTATAGTTCTCTCCTCTAGTCCACCCTGCATTCTAGCCACCAGAAGGAGCTTTCTAAACTCAAACCTGATCTTGTCTGTAAATCAGACAATGTCTCTCAATGGCCTGTAAGATCCCAAAGTCTAAGCCCCTTAGTTTGTTCCTCTGCATCTCTCCCTAGTATTTTTATCTACTAGGACACCTAGGATTTGGAGCAGGTGACTCTAAGATCCCTCAGTTCTATAACCATATGGCTACTGTACCTTGTCCTGCCTGATTGCTCTGGGAGCCAAGTGAAGGGCGCCGCTGTGTCAAGAAGACGCCGGGGGCCATGGGTGTAGTGCTGCGGTTTGTCTGGGCCATGCCAAAGGCATTAGGACGAGCAGTATACTCATGGTCAGCAAGACTTCCTGACAGGGCCTCTTGTTTAGGCTCAGGAGGAGGCAGAGGTGAGGAGGAGGTGATAAGTTGTGGTGCAGTGGCCAGAGTTGTGGCTGGTATTGTCATGCTGAAATTGGAGATTTGAGGGCGAGGCTGTTCTACCTCCTTCAGCAAAGACTTCTTCTTGATGTATTTTTTCTTTTGGGCCTTCTGCAGCTCCTAAAACACAAGCCAAGTAGAAGGAGAGATTAACAAGTAGAAAAATGAAGAAAATGTCCCAGAAAAGGAACTAGACAATGGTCAATATGGTTTTGCAACCCACCAAACCCTCCCTACCCCTACCAAGTCTAGCCTGGATGTACACACAACACACAGGCCTTCCAATACCAGAGATAATCTCTTTGGTATCCTCTATCCTTAAGTCATCATTGCCACTTATTAGTGCACTGGCAAGAGAACTGTAAATGAGTTTGACGTCTAGGGTTTTGGCCTAGCATCGCTACTAATGAGGTGGACATGAATACCTCTAATAACAACTAAATTTACAAAAGCAGCTTAGGCATTTTATATAATTTCTCTCATTTAATCCTCATAACAAGCCTGAGAAGGAAAAAACTCTTATTTTATAGATGAGAAAATTAAAGTACAGTGATAATAAGCAGCTTGAACTGAAAGCCTCACAACTGAAAACTAGTTAAGTCTATGATTTAACCAGGCATATCTGAAGACACATATTCTGTAAATTTCTCAAAATAGAACATTTTTGAGTAGAAAGATTATTACCTTTGGAATTAAATACCTAGGTTCAAATCTAGGCTTATGCTTCCTAAATTGGATGACTTTAGTTGGAGTTACTAACCTTTCTGAATCTCATCTGCCTCATGTAAAACAGGTTTAAAAAATCTGCTTTTCAGGGTTGTTGGAAAAGTTAAATAAAATAATGTAAAAATAACACATAGTAGGTACTCAACAAGTGGCAAATTATTATTCTGTCTTCATCTCTTATAATGACTTCTCTTCTTCTTGCTGGTCTTTTTCTTTGAGCAGAGGACATCACAGTCCTTCAGGTCACCAGGTCTCAAAACCTCAATTTTGGATGGGAGTGACAAATAAGGAGTTGTATCACTCCTCCTAATACCTCGAATTTCATCCATCCATTGCACTATTGACCTACTATCCACTGCATAGTGGGTACCTGTATAGTGGGCATCTGGAGCCCTGAGAACCTGGAAAGGTAGTGCTGAGAGCATGTGAATGACTTCACCTTCTGAAATGCTACACAGCCACACAGACCAACTCAGTGATTACATTTCGTTGCCTTCTGTTGGCAACACAGGCCTATTCCTGCCTTCAGAAGAGATTTGACAGGCTGTGGCTACCATAGGAATTTCTGGGGGACAAGAATAATATTATTAGTAATACATGCCAGGCACTCTTCTATAATTACTCATTTAATACTAACACGGACCTGAGAAGAATTATAATCCCATTTTGAGGATGAAAAAACTGCGGCATAGAGATAGTAAGTCATTTTCCCAAGGTTACAGAACCATTAATTGGCCAAGGTGGGATTTAGATTCAACCCATTTGGCTTCAGAATCTCTTCTCTCATCCACATTGCTACTCCACCCATACCAGGAATTCCATTTCTATTCCTTTTCTGTCATCTGACTCTGAAAATTACCTCTTCATATCTAGGATTACTTAGCCTAAGTTTTCCTGTCTTTGTTGCCAATCTCTTTCACAGATAATTTATCCAGAAATTCCCACAGATGAATAAATTGTCTTAAGGCAGGATCACTTTCACCTTGCCAATTCCCTTACTTAACATTGTTTCCCACCGACATTCGAATTCCCTGGCCTGTCATTCATGGTCTTCCATAGTCTGCCTATTTACATTTAGCCAACCCATAATGAGAACCGTAAAAAGCTAACGTGCCTATAGTAATTATTCTTTACCAAGTTTCATTCTAAGAGCTTGTATAAGTATTACTTCATCTAATCTTAAGGCAAAGTCTATAAGGAAACTGAGGCAAAGAGAAACTAAGTAACTTGCTCAAATGATAGAGCTAGGATTCAAACCTAGGTAGGTTGGCCCCAGAATCTATTCTTTTAACCATTATTTATTTTTATACTATCCCCCAGCATGAATCTCCATTCCAGAAAGATCTATTCATTAATTCATTCATTTATTCATTTACTCACTCACCCCAACACTAACTAAACACATATGCTAACCACATATGTGGGGGATATCAACAAATATATTCCCAATCTTTAAGCATTTATAATTTAATAAGGGATATAGAAAAGTATACTTATGACCATAAGTACCATGAGAAAATGCTATAGAAGCACAGAAGGTAGACACTGAAACAAAGTGTCGGTAGGTGATGTGAAGGACTGTTAGGTAAGGCATCTGAGATGGTATGGTTCCACATGGGCAGAAGGAATAACTTGCACAAAGGCACAAAGGCATGAGACAATCTGATAACACTGAGTGAACGATGAGTACTGTAGTTAAGTATGGCTGGTGTAAATAATATGAGGGACTGGCAGGAGGTCAGGGAGATGAGGTGACTAGAGATGAAATCAAGAGGGACTGATTTCCCTCTTGCTGCACCAAGGAGTTTCCTTTACCTGGAATGCTTCCCTGTCTCCTACCAAAAGCTTAGTTTCTAAAGCTCCTCCCCAATTTCAAAACCACTCTTTTGAGGTTGTCCCTGATAAACCCAAACAGAACTGAGCTCCTTACAAGGCACTAAGAGTAGTTTTCACACTTTTATTCATCTGTTTATTTAAAGCCATTTATTTAAAGCTGTTAAATTTAAATCCATTTTTATTACATTACATCTTACATGGCACTGGAATATACATAACAGAGAGAAGTTCTGGTCAAAGAAGGACCACCTGGACTGCTTGGTTTCTGTTGGCTAGCAACAATAGCGTCCATGACATTTCTAAGCAACTCTAGAGCTCCATATAACATAATATAAAAAACAGCATTCTATTAAATTTCATTTAAATAGAATTTAATTACTGAATTATATAAGCATTTAACTATTTAATTTTATTTAAATAGCAAGTAACATAAAATTTGAAGTTAGAGGATATGAGTTTGAATCTTGTCTCCTCCATTTATTGGCTGTATTATCCTGGACTAGTCACTTAAAGAGAGCCTCATTTTCTTCACCTGTAAAATGATGAAAATATCACCTATTGAACAAGGCTACTGGGCAGATTACATGAGACATTGTACATGGAAGCATCTAACATAAAGCAGATGCTCAATAGTGTTCTAAGATATAGAAAGTAGTATGAGGCATTAAGGAGATATTGATAAGGAAAGAACCAAAAGATTCAACTCTAAATACTCCTGGAGTTGCTAACCACATTACACACATTAAAGAACTTTGTAAACTATAGTGCTAGAAGATAAACTTGATTCTAGTGAAGATGACCCTTTAGGACAAAAAATAGTGAGTGAAGTTTTCTTGAAAAGCAAGGGATGAAGATCAAGATAATAGTACAGTATCTGGTAAAGAGGGTAAGAAAAGTCCCTGATAGACTGCATTCCAATACTGTTAAGTGGCTGAAAACCTTCAATATTCTCAGTTGAGTTACCTCCTTAGGGCTTTATCTGAGGGCAAAGGATGAATCTGGCCCTTCTCATCTGAGAGGTTTTTACACACCAAGAAAGGCAAGTAGTATCTAAAAGGGTTTTTCTCTGGCTTCATATTTTTTCTCATCCTAAGTCATGTCAGCTGTGTAATGTGTAGCTTGTCAATGAGTTGGGATGTGAAGGACATAGGAGGGGGCTAAGATACTACCAAAGATAAAGATCAAAAGTTACCTAATCTATGATCAATGATTAGGTAGACAATGATCGCATCTCATCACCCTGAAGATCTGAGTTTTGAGGCTTATCTAAGTTAAAATGCAAATCAGTTGCAGGGCCATTGCCTAGGGTGCCAGCACCTACCTGCTGGGCCAGTTTTGCAGCTGCTGCAGCCAAGCCAGTCTCAATGGAAGCTACCCGGGTCCCCTCACGCACAGGACGGTCCTGCTTTGGTAGAGTTGGGGTCACACGGGCTACAGGAGAAACAGAATGAGAAAGTGTCACTCTCTAAGATATTTATCGGAGTCCCAATCATATCCCCTATCAAGCATCCCAAAGGTGGTCTCATTGGTCTTCTTGATTCTAGCTTTTTATAAAGTCAGATTTTGTTTCTTATCAGGTAAGAAGCTAATTTACAAATGCCCACAGCACATATTAATTACAGGATAAAAACTTAACCTCCTGGAATTGGCATTTAAGGTTGTCCACGTCCTGTTCCCGGCTCATCTACCTCCCAATCTTATTTACATGTCCATATTCTCAGCTTCTCCAAATTGTTTTTTCTTATACCTACAGAACATGTACAACTCATCTTCTCTCTCTGTGCCTTCATTCTCACTAGCCACATGGCCTAGAGTACTCTCTTCCTTTTTGTCTGCCTATTCAAAACCTGCCCATACTTCAAACCTCCCCAAGAAATCAATCTCATAGGCAAAACCTCTAGGACCTCCCTGGTTCCACTGAACTCTTTCCTCTGAACTAATGATAAGTACAAATTACTTGATACATAGTACATACCACCTTGACTTATTCGCTAATGTTGACATGTTATTTTGTTGATCAATCATGCTATAAATTCCTGAAGAAGACCATCCATCTTCTTGCATAACTCTTGCCTTCCCATACTTTAATCAAAAAATACTCATCCCACCTTTCAAAAGTAAGTGTATTTCAGGATAACCAAACAGCCCCAGATGATAAGACATAGATCTTTACAGAAGAATGCTAGCTAATAAATGTAGAAGGAATGACAGAATTAGTAAATCACAAGTGTGCAAGTCCTAATGAAACAATTGATTCTAGGGAACTGGATATTCACACAGCACCAAAGTATTATCTCACAGATTACTTACTAGTATCAAAAATAAAAAGCTTACAACAATGAGATTATATCACTCCCTTTAACTAAGTATTAACTTTAATGTCACTAATAAACATAGCATAATTTCATGCACCTCCTGATGTGATGCAATAGGAAATTCACCACATCAACTGAGAAGTAGTTTTTTGTTAAAAAGTTAAAAATCAAGTAAGCCAGTCATATTACTAGCAGTGTTTAGAAACACAGAGAGGAAAAACAAGTTAAATGACACCTTGAGAAAACAAGCAGATGTTCTACAAATGGCTTAGTGTCTCTCTCTCCCTCTCTCTCTCTCTTTTTTTGTTTTTTTTTTTTTTTTTTTTGAGACAGAGTCTCACATTTGTCACCCTTGGTAGTCTTGGGCGATTCTCTTGCCTCAGCCTCCCAAGTAGCTGGGACTACAAGTGGCTGCCACAACATCCAGCAATTCCTAGAGACAAGGTCTTGCTCTGGCTAAGGCTGGTCTTGAACTTGTGAGCTCAGGCAATCCATCCGCCTGGGCCTCCCAAATGCTGGGATTACAGGCATGAGCCACCATGCCTGGCCTTAAAAAAACAATGTCCCAAGGAGGCAGGCAGATAAATTTAGAAGGTGGGAAATGTTACAGGGCAATTATAACAGTTTCTACAACAAACCAATAGCATAAAACAAAGAGAAGAAATTGAGAGATATAAAAGACATGACAGTCAAATATGAAGTGACCCTATCCTGATCTGAACAAATCCATTTAATACCTTTTTTGGTTGGACAATTTAGGAAATTTGATTAAGGACTTGGAATAAGGTAACATCAAATAATTATTATTAATTTTGTTATGTATGATAACAGAATTGTAGTTACGTGGAAAATGTCTATATTTTGTAGAAATACACACTAAAGTACATGGGAGAAATGACATAATATCTGGGATTTCTTTTAAAGCAAAAAAAATTAAAGAAAAAAGTGACAGATGAAGTAAATATGGAAAAAATCTTGATATCTGTTCATTCTCACTTATGGATATACGAGGATTCACCATACTATCCTTTTTTTTTTTTTTTTCAGTTTTTGGCCAGGGCTGGGTTTAAACCCATCACCTCCAGTATATGGGGCCAGCGCCCGACTCTTTTGAGCCACAGGTGCTGCCCCAATTTCAATCCAATCTTATTTCAATGAAAAAAACTAACATCTATCCTATTTCAATGAAGAAAACTAACATCTTAGAAAAAAGGTGTGCTGGTGGTGCTGACCTAGATTTTAAAACTCCTTGGTTGGTTAGATATTGCTATTACATATAGAAAGGAGAATTTCTGTATAACAAGTATGTGGAGTCTAGAACAGGTATCTCAGGAAGCTAAAGTTCTTTCTTCAAAGGTAACATTTTCTTTGCTTAAAACATGATCCAAAGCAAATCTAGCAAAAATATCTTTGCATAATTTTGGGTCATGGATACTTGGCTATCTTTTATATTCTTATTTTGTATGTGTGGTGGCTTTAAAACATGGCCCCAAATTCTTTGACAGCTTTCCTACTGATACGTGAGGTCTGTGCCCCCTTCTTGAATATAATAGGCTCATATGCTATAAGTGATAGTGTGTGACTTCTAAGGTCAGGAAAGGCAAATTCAGTTTCCACATTGCTTGTTGAAACATTCAAGCCTTGGAGACCTAAGTTGCTATGTAAAAAATTTGTTTGCCTTGACTTCACTAGATCCCATTAGATGGTAAGGAAGCTAGTTATATGGAGAGGCCACATAATGTCACTTTTAGTCTTTGAGAACTTCCAGGGCAGGTACCAGAAACATAAGTGAATGAGACTTCACTCAAATGATTCAAACTTTTGGGAACCAAGTCACCTCCAGGCTTCAGAGTTTTTCCAGTTGAAACTGACATCATAGAGTGGATACAAGTTATCCCCACTGCACCTTTTCCAAATTCCTGCCCAGAGAGTACATGCACATATAGGTGGCTGTTTTAAGCTGAAAAAAAAAAAAAGTCCTTGATCAGACCTAGGAGGTGTGTGTGTGTGATGGGGAACTATAAAAGATACTGTGGGAAAACTATTGTGAAAAATTGGTTATGGACTAGGTATTAGAAGATCTTAGGGAATTATTATTACATTTCCTACATATAAGAAAACATAGTTTAGGTTCGGTACCTGTAGCTCAGCGGCTAGGGCACCAGCCACATACAGTGGAGCTGGCAGGTTCAAATGCAGCCCAGGCCTGCCAAACAACAACGATGACAACTATAACCAAAAAATACTCGGGTGTTGTGGGGGTGCCTGTAGTCCCAGCTACTTGGAAGGCTGAGGTAAGAGAAACACTTAAGCCCAAGAGTTTGAGATTGCTGTGAGCTATGATGCCATAGCACTCTGCCGAGGGTGACATAGTGAGACTCTATCTCAGAAACAAACAAACAAACAAAAAACATAGTTTAGTTACATAGGGGGGTAAGATTCTTAGGAGATACTTCAGTACTATAGGGTAAAATAAATTATGATGGCTCCATATTACTTTGAAGTGCCTCAGCAAAAACTATAAATAGATAAATGAAGCAACTACAGCAAAATGTTAATAATTGTAGAATATAGAGCAGATGTCCTCAAACTGTGGCCCGCCTAGGACATTTATCCAGCCTGCCGGGTGTTTTTGCCACTGCTGCCTGTCCTGCTTAGCAGCCGACTCATCCCGGGGCCTGCAGTCTGGCTCTCCAACAGTCTAAGGGACAGTTAACTGGCCCCCTGTTTAAAAAGTTTGAGGACCCCTGATATAGAGAATTACAGAATATTGAGAATATGGGTGTTCATGCACTATCCTTCTACTTTTATGTATGCTTGAAAATTATCACAGCAAAAATTTTTAAATAATGAACAAGACTAAGAGGTCATAATAACCAAATGCAATGTAATCATTGAATAGATCTTGGTTTGGAAAAGCTAATTATAAAATACATTTTTGGTAAAACTGGGGGAGATTTTAATTATTTGGTATTTAAAACAAAGTACTTGATATTAAAAAAATAAATGTCACTTCATTGTCAATATAATGATAACATGTTTATGGAAGAAAACAACAATTTTAATAGACACATACTGAAATATTCAGGATGACATGTCCTGAGGGTGACATCAGTAAAAATGGAAAAATTAGCACTTCAAAAAATTAATTTCTCAATAAAAATAATAAAAAACTAGGAAATATCATCAAAAGTTTTTCATAAGTCTGGAAATTAACCAAAGGCTTGTGGCAATCTCAGGCTAAGAATAATGAGATTTATGGCATTTTAACTTATGCTAGACACATCCACTTTTCCTCAGCTCAATAGTAGCCTTGAAAAGTAACAGCCCAAATCCCAAGTAATATACTAAACAGAAAGGAGCTGGAACTTTTTTTGTTGTTGTTTGTTTGCAGGTTTTGGCCAGGGCGGAGTTTGAACCCGCCACACCTCCGGTATATGGGGCCGGTGCCCTACTCCTTTGAGCCACAGGCACTGCCCGGAGCTGGAACTTTCTTTCAAAGCCTAATGCTAAAAGCCTCTCTCTTACTCCCTGGCAGGTAACTTATGAAAAATGTTGAAATGCACCTGCTTACGTCATAGCTGCTTAACATGCGGGATAACAGTTTTGGCAAACAATAGCTTAACCCAAATGCTTAAAACAAAGCTAAAGAATGAAATGTTCACTGCGGATTCAAAAAATTCCCACAATTTTTTTGGAATCAAGAAAGGCACGTGCATGTGTAGAGGCTGTAAGACTTAAGGCCCCAAGCACTCACCTGTGCCAAACTCTGAGGCTCCGCAGAAGCAGTAGCTAAGGAAGAGTTATAAATTGTCTGGCTAAGTGTTGAAGACATACCGCAACATGTACACAAAGCTCCTCAGCAAGCCCTAGGAGATTCACTGGTTCCAGGCATTTAAGGAAATCTCTGGGTAATCATTAGATGTCTATTGTAAGTAGAGACATAGTGGCTGACATAAAAGGTATACAGACTTTACAGAATTAGTTCAGAAAAGTCACTTAGCAAATAATAACTACACCAAACGGCAAACAATAAACCTTGAGGAGTGCAGTGGGGAAAATGTGATTTCAGAATTGCTGCAGTATTTAAAATGTCCATTTTTCAACAAAAAAATT